ACAAGCCAAAAATATGATTATAGACTTTAGAGACAGAGGGATAGAACTGACATAGGTATTGTAGCCTCACCATATCCTATAACATCCTATTATGTACTGTGGCAGAGATCCTTCCCATTCAAATCCGTTTAAGGGCATACTGCGCTGTGGCAATGCTATACCACAAGAGCAGTTTCAGGAGAGAGCAAGGCGAATGAAAAGGGCCTACACTTTAGCACTAGGTTAGTCTGTATTCCAACCTCAGCTCTGATGCTTACTAGGTGTGTAATCTTGGGCAAATGGCTTAACATCTCTGAGTTTTTATTTCCTCATTTGAAAATGGGACCACTTTACACATTATTGTGGGTGGTTCAGAAGATTAGAGAATTTTATATTTGTCACAATTTCTATCATAGTAGAATGCCTAGAACTTAGTAAACACTCCACAAATGCTAGTTTCATTCTCTTTTTTGATTGCTTTTTCCTTTTTTAAAAACACCTCATTATAAACTAATAAAACATGTATTTTTTGGCAAACATAAACTAAGAAGTGATTTCTGGTCGTGGTTTAGCAAAATTCCAAGTTGTCACTACTTATTTTCAGAAATGTCACACAATTCTTAAGTTAAAAATAGTTTTAACTTAATTATTTTAAAATGCTACTTGAGTAAAATGGCTGGTGTCACAAAATATAATAACAGCCATAGCAGTTATCAAGAGGCTGGGAATCCCCACATCAAAACAAAAAGAGAAGTGGAAATTTGACATTTAAGAAAGAACCAGATAGCATCTTTAAAACTGAGAACCAATTACTATAAAGGGTAAGTACAAACAAAGCATTTGACTAATATAATTTTTGATGCTGTTAGGTGATTAAAGTCACAACCTAGTAATTCCTATCATAAATCATATATGACAATTTTATGTACATAAGTATTGCAATAGAAACAAAGGGTAATGAAAAGGTAATTTTTGTTCTAATAATATTTAGAATTTAACATAAAGAGAATTATCTATATTTTCAAGTCTATATAGGAAACTTAGTCAATTATCAGAGGATACGGTAAGAATTAATAATAATGGACCAAGGATTTAAGAAAATCTCAAAAGCATATAAAAAGTCTCAAAAGCTATTGGAATTGAATTTAGAAGCCATGTACAAATATAAAGAGACGGTTTTATATAACATGTTAATATTACAAATGAATTCTGAATTTAATCATTACTGAGCATACATACAATACATAACATCATTCAAATTGTGCTTTGTATAAACGTTAATTGTCAGGAGTCCGCTGGTTGTGGGTTGCCATGCAAGCTGCAATGCAGGCACTGGTAATGCGATACCCAACATGAAATGTTATGGATAATTGTTATCATTGATTCTTTTATGAGTTGGGACATACCAGAGAAATAAAACTGACTAAAATCTCTCTTCTTATAGAGTTTACATACTAGTACAAAGACATTTTAAAGTGAAATATACAACATGTGAGAAGATAAAAGGACCATTGAGGAAAGTAAAGCAAAAGGGTACTTACATATCTCTATTATATACTTGGGTAATTCTTGGATTTTGAAAACTGGAAATAGCTTAAGAGTGCTTATGGGAACTAATAAGGAAAAATTAGAGTGAACAGAAACATTAATGGAGATTAGAGAGATGAAATGCAGATTATAGCAAGGGAAAGAGGAAATTATGCTAAGAGAATCTTAGAGTTGTCAGGAAAGTTAGATCTTGTTTAGGGAATCTTTATTCTCCAGAGCAGGAAACAGAAATTCTTCAAGTTTAAAGATTAGGGAATAGAAATAGAATGAAAAGAAAGATATCTTAAAATAATATATATACCTTTATATATTAATATATTTACCTATCTTGACCACAAATATGTTTTTATGATCCAGAACCAAGTGTTTTTGGTTTTACTCAACTGAAGACATTAACTATAAATGTAAGGCAAAGGTGTAAGGTTGTTGGCTGTTTGCAGGTCTTCTCTGTTATCCTCAGAGGTGGTGCCATCCCTGTCAGTGGATGAGTGTAAGAAAGTCTCTCTTAAATAAACTCACTCTCCAGGCCCTGCAGGGCAAGTCTGGTCTGAATGGGGTCTGGGCTGAGAGGAGAAGCCTGAAATACCCAAGTTTAGTCCTTCCCATTCTGAGGATCTGGAGGTGAGAACCCTGGCAGGGCTTCATCCATTGGGCAGGCAAATGCTTTTCTAGTTTTATCTAACTAAAACTTTAAGAAGAATTTGCACTTAATCTAATGGTACACACAGAATCATCAGTCTGGATATCTCTTGATCTCTGATCAGAGGGAGCCAACACCAGAAGCCAATTTAAAAACAAAATACTGTACAACCCCCTTCAGTGCTCACAGCCCACAGGTAAGAAGGCTGGGCAATGGTTCGAGGCCACAATTTATTCTGGCATGGGAACACTATGAGAGGCCCACAGAGAAGGGCTCAACATAAATCCATTACCATGCTGCAGAAGGAGAGAGGAAGGTAGACAGAAAGAGAAAGAGAAACATCGATGTGAGAAACATTGATCAGTTCCCTCCTGCATGTGCCCTGACTGGGAATCGAACCCACCACCTTTTGGTGTACAAGTGATGCTCCAACAAACTGAGCCACACCAGCCAGGGCCAGAAACCAACTCTTAAATGAACAAGAAGACACCTATTTTTAGAAGATGGCATCAAGTTTCCATTCACCATTCTTCAGAGGTCACAGTGCCTACTCTGTAGCTTCTGAGGACTTTCTGTCCTCAAGTCATCATGACTTCAGCACATTATCTAGTTTCCTGGAGCCTATTATTCCCAGAGGGGGAAAATTGGAATTCTTGTCATGGCTTTGTTTTCATCTGGCTAGGACAGATAAGAAGGATATTTTATAAGTTAGCAGAGTCCAACTCAAGAGCTAGAAACTAGTAAGTCAAGTGCATATTTATCAGCACCAGGTTCCTGTGGCAGGGCTTCAAGTCGCAACAAATTCTCTATTGGATAATGAATAGAACAGAGGAGATGCAGGGAAGGGGATTAAAACTTAGTTTCCTGAATTTTATTACAGTCAATAAAAAAATTATAATACTATAAAATAATGGTAAAAATATAGCAGGCTTTAGCTTTGGAGAAAACTACTTTAGGAGTCAAGATTACACATCCTTACAATCCCTAATGCATTAATCATGAACCTCTTTTAGCTAGATAAATGTATTTACGGGGTTTTTAGCATTATCCCAAAATCACTGTCAATCTTAGGTGAGCCTCTTGCCTGGTGATTGGATCAGTACCACAAAGTTTCAACTAAAAAGCTCTGTATTCACTTTCTTCTTAAATTGTTTTGAAATCTGTTGGTAGGCAGAATTTCCCCTTACTTTGAGAAAATTCAGGAAAGCATACAGAAAATGATTAAAGGGGTTGAAAATGAAGCCCAATTTAGAAGGCGAGTTTAGAAGAAGGGAGCTGACTTTGTTTGGAGAAAGAAGAGAAAGCTGGAAGATAATAATAATAATAATGGTTTTGAAGCCTACAAAGAGTTCCTCTTCATAGTCATCCATTCATTTGTTCACCCAAAGTGCCATGCACTATATCAGAATCTGGGGGACACGGAGAAGGACAAAGATAGAAGCTGATGAAGTCTTTGGCTCCAGAATCTCTTCTCCATTGCCAGTGACCAAGAGTTGAACAATACTAAGTGTAGGATAGGACACAGAAGGAAATAAGTCAGAAGTGAAGGGATTTGAGAAATTGAAATGCTTGCCAAGGCCCAAGTAGCAATGGAAATAAACACATCCTCACCTGCCATCTGTTTATGAGAACTACTTCTGGTTAAATGGTGAAGTAATTTTCAGGACTGGCAGGGAGAATTTCCACCAGAAAAAAATTATTATAGCTTCAATTTTATAGTTTGGGGTATTCTATTGTAGGCCTTGTATGGTCAGTATTAAAGTTAGGCAAATATTTTGTGGTTTCCATTGTGCTTTCATCTCTACTTCACACTGAATGATTCATACCAGGGTCTATTCAGACCACAGAAATAGCAGAAAAGGAAGACAATGATGGTATCCCTTCCCACCACACTGAAATTAACAAAAAAGCCCCCTGGCCATGTTTACCAAGAAAACATTATGTACAAATTCACAGTAACCAGTTGTGTTATCAAGTCGCAAGTTCCTCTGTGCCACAGATTCTTGGAATTGCCAACTTTTGATTAACTGAGAATTACCATTTAGGACATATAAAATTGTGACTCTATATTACAAATACAAGGATGATCATTTACTTTATTTAAAAAGCATGGACAAAAAAACTTTAGTAATTCAAATACTAAGATAGTGTGTTTGTTTGATTTTTAACTTTCATGTTTTGCTTTGACTCTAACAACTCAAATAAACAAATTTAAAATGTTTTAGCCATATGTAAGTCCAATTTAAAAACTTAAGATAAACCAAGACAAGACAAACAGAATTTTATGATGAAATGAAGGAATTGCTCAGGCCAGCAATCGCTAGTTAATATTTTCAATATTCAGTGATCTTTCTGAAAATTTAAATACAAATTACATTTTTAAGAAAACTCAAAATTATCTGTTATGGGTCTCTCCAATATGCAAACTACCCTACCTAAAAATTGTGGGGCATCAAAAGTTATTCTTATCTTTGTTCTTTCTTTTTTTTTTTAAATTATATATAGTATTATAAAGTGAATAGATAATTTTAAAGAAATTTTGTGCTTTTAATCAATCCTTTAAGTAATATTCTGACAAAAATTATTGTTTTCACAAAGCACATCATTTTCTCCTAAAGACAATACTGAAATACACACAAATACAAATTTATGTATATAATTTATAAATGTAGCATATGGCACAGTAATTGGGAAAAACTTTCTAAATAAATACAATTGCTTGTTATACCCACATAATTCAATAGAATTGAAAGTATTTCATTGAAATCCACCTGTTCTTCCTCCACCCGAAACAATGGCGCATAAATCAAGGATCTTTGTGTTCAGAGCTTACCTGTCTCGCTTCCAATCAAAGGCTGATTTGCAAAATGCTTGACAAAATCCTTCAAAGATGAGAATTCATTAAAGCCAAATTTAAATGAAAATCCGGTATATTCAACATGAAAGTGTTTGACAGAGTCTTTGGCTCTGAAAAGGAAAAATAAATGTTCAATATTATTATAATAAACTAGAGGCCTGGTCCATGAAAATTCATGCACTCGGGTGGGGGGGTGTCCCTCAGTCTAGCCTGTGCCCTCTCAAGTTCAGGAGCCCTCAGGACATGTCCACATGCCAGCTTAGGCATGCTCCCTGGAGGGTCAGGCCTAAGCTGGCAGTCAGACATCCCTCTGGTAGCCTGGGAGCACTTGGAGGATGTCCGCTTGATGGGTTAGGCCTGCTCCTCGGACCTAAGCCATTGTTAGACATCCTTAGTGTTGCCAAGGAGGCGGGAGAGGCTCCCGCGTTCATAGCTGTCAGCCTGGCTTATGGCTGAGCGGAGCTCTCCCTATGGGAGTGTACTGACCACCAGGGGGCAGCTCCTGCATTTAGTGTCTGCCCCCTGGTGGTAAGTTTCTGTCATAGTGACTGGTCGTTCCCAGTCATTCTGCTATTAGGGTCAAATTGCATATTATCCTTTTATTATATAGGATGAGTATCATTTTTGAAGAAAAATAGTAACCTTATGTATTTCATATCAATAGTCAATCCCCTTAAAAACTGAGAATTATGACACAATCATTGACATAGTTTCTTTCGGCATAGTGTGCTTTTGTGAATTTTTCACTCTAGAAGAAGATAAGAGACAATTCTCCCTGTGCATTCTGTGACTTGTGGAAAAAGTCCTTGAACGTTAACATCCTTAAGGAGCAGGAATTTAATAAAAGCAGGGAAGAGAGATTATGGAAATGGCAGGTCATATGTTCTCTATTCCTGGCCCTCCTCTCTTACTTGTTTGGGAGTTGGTCTGAATTCAGCTTCTGTCACTTAATTAGTTATGTAAGGCCAGGCCTTTTTCTTCCTTGTCTGTTCCACTGCCTACTGACTAAAATATAAAATTTCCTACATTGTCATTTTCACCTCATTTTTGGAATGAGGTAGAGCATTAAATAAATTATAAATTACATATAGTATATATATTTGAATCCCACTATTCTTCTCTTCTTTGTTCAGGGCGTGCCCTAACTTTCACGTGCTTAAGAAATTAAAATCAGCCCAGCTGGTGTAGCTCAGTGGTTGAGCATTGACCTCTGAACCAGATGGTCATGATTCAATTCCCAGTCTGGGCACATGCTTGGGGTGCGGGCACGATCTCTAATGGAAGTCATGCAGGAGGCAGCCTATCAAAGATTGTCTCTCATCATTGATGTTATTACATCTCCTTCCCTCTTCCTTTTTCTCTGAAGTCAATTAAAAAAAAAAAAAAAAAAGCCCTAACCAGTTTGGCTCAGTGGACAGAGTGTTGGCCTGCAGACTCAAGGGTTCCATGTTTGATTCTGGTCAAGGGCATGTACTTTGGCACCTGATCGATATTTCTCTCTCATCGATGTTTCTAACTCTCTATCCCTCTCCCCTCTTCTCTGTAAAAAATCAAATTAGAATCATTACAATAAATCAAATTTTAAAAAAGAAATTAGAACCATCTGGAGACCTGGTTAAAACCCCAATTTCTGGGCCCTGATTCAGCAGGTCAAGGGTGGGGCCTGAGGATTTGCAGTCCTACCACATTCTTAGGTGATATTATTGGTCTGGGAACCACACCCTGAGATGAGCAATTCTCCTAGGAGTTTCCACTTTGTCCCTTAGCTCAGACAGTTCCCTCCACCTGCAACTTCTTCCCCTTTGTTTTGGATCAAGTGCCCATTCAAATGCCACGAACTCCATCAAGTATTGCAAGACTTGTCCAGCTTGTGTTACTTGCTTTTTCTCTTCTCAACATTACAAGCACTTATTTGCTTTCTTTCATGCAATTTACCACATTCTACTTTGCACTGAGGTATCTGGAAATGCCTTATTATTAATATGAAGCTACACTTCCTAAGGGCAAGTTCTTTGAATCCTCTATAACACTTGTCAAAGACGGTTGGTACACAGTAGATGTTCTTCAATATTTATTTATTATCCTGAGCTGGTCTATAGTTCCTATCACCTCTGCCAGTGGGTTTTCGTTTCTTTAGAGCATTTCCAAGTGCTAGTAATGGAAATGAATGATTTATATTTAAAATTGTATATAGATGGAATATATATGCCATCGCCTTGTAAGGAGCTTATGATCCATTTGTTCAGATGAGACATATATAGGTGAAAAGTTAACATTTTTTGGATCCCATAATTCCACAGGTTTGTTTGAGATTTGGGATAGATCCATGCAATCGTCAGCAGCATAACCACTTTTAACATTTGCTATGGATCAGAAAAAGCACAATTCCTGCTTTCACCTAAGCAGAATTTTATTTTTTATAATTTTCTCAAAAATGTTATTTAGAAAATTTGTAAAGAAAACGCAGCAGGGTAACATAAAAATGTTAATGAATGTGTTTCCTACCTATTTCTCCCACTCCCCTTAAAGAGGCCTGTAGACTGCCAGTGATTCTGGGAAAGGAGGGTTTGCAGGCATCAGTCCACCATGGCCCCAAGGTTCTCAGGCCCCGAACACACCCTCTTTTCCCCAATTGTCCAACACAACACTAATGTAAACACTGCTCTAAAGGTGTTTGCAGATAGTGAAGTCCCAAGACAGGTGACCTTAAAATAATGGGATTGTCTGATCTAATCACATGAGAGGACGTCAGTGAGACATGTACTAGCCGGTCTAGGAAAAAGCAAACATCCATGTGAACTGCCTACGGGGCCACTTGGCAAGGAACTATGGGTGACCTCTAGGAGCTAAGAGTAGTCCTTGGCTCATAGCTATAGGGCAATGGGGACTTAGTCCTATGGAATCAAGGAAATGAATGAAGAGAAAAGGAGAGGATGAAAGAAGAGGGCACTGAGCCCCAGATAAGCCACAGCCTTCACCAGCACCTTTATTTTACCCTCGTAGGAGCCTGAGCAGAGTCCAGCTCTATATATCATGCTCTAAGTCCAAAGAGAAAATGAGAAAATATGTTAATTTTTGGTTTTTAAGCTCATAGAAGAAGCCTGTCATAAATTATGCAGGGGAATATGTTTATAGTGAATTTTTTTTTCCCTATTAAAGTGAGAGAGAGAGAGAGAGAGAGAGAGAGAGAGAGAGAGAGAGAGAGATTAAAAAACAAAAGTTGCTGATCTGGATAGAAAAGAGGGTTCAGAGAGAAAGGAGTATAGATGTTGCTATTGAGTTGGTGGCAAGGAGGCCTGCACCAGGTGAAGCAGGAGAGAAAAGAGAAAACCTTAATGTGATGGATCAGTGATCAACATGAGGAACTGTAACATGAAGGTAGATGGTGGCATCAAAGGAACAGGAATAAAATAGTAACAGTTTGAGATTATTGAGTAGGCAGCCAAGGCAATTTCATTGAATCCTCACACGCCTGGTCCAAGCCAGGGCAACTGCCCATGAGCCCACAAAGACTTGCTACCTGCCAACCGAAGCTACATGACAGATGCTGCCTAAGAACCAGGACTCCCCTGGCTTATCTCTTGGCAAAGTCAACTCCTCTGATAAGAAGGCCACCCAGGAGAAAGGGGCGAGGAGAGAGTCCCTGGGGGCACTGGGCAATCACTGTTTTTAGTGTGCCTGGTAGGGAGGGACTAGGTTGATTTTGTGAGCATCCAGGGGAAATGGAACCTGAGAAAGAAGGTCAGTGATTATGAAAGCTGCACAGCTACAAATCACTCTGACTTTCCAGGAAGTAGAAAATATTAAAGGGACACGAGGCCAGCATTCAGGGATCTGGATTCCGGTGCTCTTTGTATCTTTGGTTTATTGGCTATAAGGTAGTTTACCACTTCAGGTTTCTGTTTCTTTATCAGTCAAGCCAACAGTTTTGGTTGCCGACTTTCGGGCCTCACGCACCACCAGTGGTCCTTCCGCTCTAACATTTTTTACCTGCTGGTGGAAGGAGCAACAATGTGTTTTAACAGTCTCCCCACTTGGCGTTTGGAATCCTTAGATGGGCTGGTCTACCAAGAACCAAGAGGATTTTGTTATCTGGCTATTTGAGTGTGATGATACAGTCCATGGCCACGTGGGTAAGAAACGGGTCCATGCTGAATTCAGAGTTATTAAGCACCGTACCTCACGGAGAGAGAGTACAGCCCGGTCCTTTCATTGCTGTCCCTCAGGAGGTAGCTGCCGTCACATCCGTTTGAGAGGAGAAGAGCCTCGGCTGCGTGGCGTGTGAGATTGCCGTGATACCACCTAGGGAGGAGAGAAAGTGCTTTCACTCAGGGCAAACCCAAGGTGACTCTTCTCCCACTGGCTTTTCTGCTCTGAGATTACCTCCGCAATAGTCCCCACATAGGTAGCCAGGAGGCAGGAAAATTCCTGGGTGTGGCTACAGGGGAGGGGGGAGCAGAGAGGGTTGGTTACTAGCAAAGTGTGAGGGGTTCAATTGTACTCTGAAAATTCATATGTTCAAGACCCAATCCCCAAACCGGAGAATGTGACCTTATTTGGAAATAAGGTATTTAGCAAGGTATGAGATCATTAGCATGGGCCCGATTCAATATGACCGGTGTCCTCTCATAAACAGGGGACATTTGGACATGTCAATAGTGAGCGTGCCATGTGAATTTGAAGATGACCATCCACAAGTCTAGGAGGGAGGGTTGGAGCATCCTTCCCTCACAACCCTCAGTAGGAACCAACCTCATTTCAGGCTTCTAACCTCCAGAACTGTGAGGTGGTACTTTGTCATGGTGGTAGCAAGATAAACATACAAAATTACATTGTAAACAGGAAATATTTTAAAAGTCCCAAGTCAAAAGTAATAGTAAGAGTGGGCTTTGGCCAATTTCCTCTTTCGTTTGTTTTCTCTCACAATCTCTCTTGCAAGTGTGGTACCACCTTTTGCAGTGGGAAAGACCATTGGGCTTTTCTACTAGAGTCCATTGTCATGAGTGAAATGAAGTTGAGTATAAGGATTTCAGATGTTTTATACAAGATGCAAGACCTAGCTCCTATTGTTTCTAACTGAAAAATATCTAAAGAGCTAGGAATGTCCCAAGGAGATTCAAATTGATCTATGGGTTAGAAATAAAAGTCATTTTAGAAAAGGTAACATATGTCCATGGTAGAAGAAAAAAAAATTCTAAATACTTTTCAAAAGAAGACAGTGAAAATAAAGCTTTTTTTTCTCACCCATAAGCTTCAGTTCCTTTACCCAGAGGACGCTGATCCTTTACCCAGAGGACACTGATGCTAACCATTTTCCTGTGTTTTCTCCCAAGAGATATCCTTGTACCTAGAGCGGCTATTTTCATTCAGTGTGCAACCAGAATTTTTAAAACATCCAGTACCTGACTATTTAGTCAGAGGTACTGACCTCTTTTCTTTTAAATTGTCAAATAAAATAATGACAACAGCCAACACAATAGGCATCTGGTGTGAATGCCCTGTCTTAAACCATAAATATATAGGTCATATAATAAATATAGGTCATATAAAACAGTTCCATATTATTGGTCATGTTGCAAAATAAGGTTGCATCTGGTTGGTTAATTCTTTTTATTTTTATTGATTTCAGAGAGGAAGGGAGAGGGAGAGATAGAAACATCAATGATGAGAGAGAATCATTGATCAGCTGCCTCCTGCATGCACCCAATTGGGGATCGAGTTCACAGACTTGGCATGTGCCCTGACCAAAAATTAAACCATGACCTCCTGTTTCATAGGTTGATGCTAGGCTGATTGGTTAATTCTTGGTACCAGAAATCCTTATATACAAGTATAGGCACCTGATTTTTTCAAAATTCACTTGGAACAAAAGGGTAATTACTATTATTATTATTTTGTAAGTCAATCAAAATTATAGCTATTTTTTGTCAGATCAGCAAATATACTTTTTTTTAAATATATATTTTTTATTGATTTTGTACAGAGAGGAAGGGAGAGAAATAGAGAGCTAGAAACGTGAATGAGAGAGAAACATCAACCAGCTGCCTCCTGCACACCCCCTACTGGGGATGTGCCTGCAACCAATGTACATGCCCTTGACCGAAATCGAACCTGGGACCCTTCAGTCCGCAGACCGACACTCTACCACTGAGCCAAACTGGTTTCGGCAGCAAATATACTTTTTGATATACCACAAAATTTTAGTAATTAGTTTAAGTGTGTCATGAGATGAAAAGATAGAAAATTATTCATTGAGAGGCATTCAAATATGTCCTCTCTCCTAACTCCATGGAAATAGAGCCTTCGAGGCACACTCTTCTGCACCTTGCTCTCATTGCCTTAATGATTTGGTAGAGGCAGTCTGGGTTGGTGATTAAGATGTAGCTTCTGGAGCAGGTTATAACTCTTACTAGCTGTACATGTTACATAACTAATCTAAACCTCAGCTTTCTCATCTCTAAAATAGGATTAATAATAGTCATACCTCACCAAAACCAGTTTGGCTCAGTGGTAGAGCCTTGGTCTGAGGACTGAAAGGTCCCAGGTTCGATTCCGGTCAAGGGCATGTACATTGGTTGCGGGCACATCCCCGGTAGAGGGTGTGCAAGAGGCAGCTGGTCGATGTTTCTCTCTCATCGACGTTTCTAGCTCTCTATCTCTCTCCCTTCTTCTCTGTAAAAAAATCAATAAAATATATTTTAAAAAAATAGTCATACCTCAATCCCCCTGGCTGGTGAAAGCTCAGAGGTTGGAACCTCAGCTTGTACACAGGATGGTTTCGAGTTTGATTCCTGGTCAAGGGCACCTACCTGGGTTGTGGGTCTGTCCCCATCTCCAGTGAGGGCACGTGCGTCAATGTTTCTCTCTCTCTCTCTCTCTCTCTCTCTCTCTCTCTCTCTCTCTCTCTCTCTCTCCCCCTCCTTCCCTGTTACTCTCTTTAAAATCATTGGAAAAAATATCCCCACTCTATGGCTGAAGACTTGAAAAAATAATAGTCATACCCTCGTTGGTCATTTGTGAGTATTGCTCACACTAACACACACGAAATGGTCAATACGGCCCTGGCAAACAGCAAAACTTAGTGCATACAGTTGTTAGCATGAAGCCATTGAGATCCACAGAGCCATAACTTGGAATGCTTCCTCTATGCTGTAATTTTCTTGTTGCTTAAATGTAATTTTTATCTTTCAATTTATTTCAGACAACAGAAAGTTAGGTAACAGGAACAGATGCTACTGAAAGGGACCCATGATCCAGGGCAGGGGAGAGGAAGGGGACAGAGGCAACTACACAAATAATGTGTATCAGTAAATGAAGTGCTATCAGGGAAGTATGTATAGTGTACAAGAATTTCAAGGAAGAGCCTGATTCTGGGTGAGAGGGATCCTGCTGTCATGAGCCATGCTGGCATCCATTGTAATACCCCATGGCCTGAAATGTTAACTTTATAAGAAAAGCAAAATGTAAGACTGTCTGTGTAGGGAAGTTTCCACATGGGTCTCCAAGCTATTTTCTAAATCTGCATTTCCTACTGTGTGTTTCTTTAGCACATTTCCTCTTCGGGGCAGAGATGCCTCTATCCTGTACTAGAAATGTGTTTGCTAGCTTAAAGGAATTGCAAGAAAAAAGATTTTATAAGAAAGCCTATTGAATTGTTACCCACAAAGCAACCTCACTCATTCAACCGATTCACTGACAGGCTCAAATCTTCTCATTACAAAATGCTTTCAAAGGACAATTGGAACCTAAAACTAATATAATGCTGTATGTCATTTATACTTTAATTAAGAATAAAAGACAATGGGAAGAATTAAAAGTGAAGTTATGAAAATACTTCAGGTTTGGCTACAACCCAAACTCTAATCTCTACAAGATTCCAAGTTCTTAAATTTTGCCAATAATTAAATTTTGAACGACCATTTCAGAATAAGATTTAGATTGAGCTGGTAGATTACATATTTGAAGCAACAGAATTTGATCAACAAAATTCTAAAACAAAGGATTTGAACATTCCTTTGGATGCTTTTCAATGAGATCTGAAGACTGTGTTTAAGCCATTTATGGAATTCTTCTGATAATTAGAGCTTGATGGCAGTTTTGCTAAGAATTTTTTATTCTAATCTTTTAAATAATAATTATTTATCATAATTATATTAAAAATAGGGAGTATAAAGCAAGAAGAATCACAGTGAACATTCCGGTGATAGCTTGTTGAGTAAATCTTGACATCTGTTGGATTTTATGGGAGTCCTGGGCCTGCCAGACAGACACCTACATACACTTTCTGATGTCTATGGGGCAGTGAGGATCCTCATTCCCCAAATAGCTCTTTCATTAGTGCCTAAACTTTCTCTTTTAATGGAGTTAAACATCCTACCCCCCCCCCCCCGCCCCAAAAAAAAATTAGGGTGATCATATCTTCCAGGGAAGTAACTATAAATACAAATAATATTACAAATTTTTTGTAGAAATATGTCCATTTGTGTTTATGAAGAACTAAAAGTTGAAAATATAGTAGAATGACATTGGTAGTTTTCTCATTATCAACCTTCTCTACCTTCTCTCAAAATATTTATTTATTAAGTTTTAAATGTGTGCAAAGCATTGTGCAAGGCATTGTACTGGATAGATCAAAAAAACATAAATGGGAAAGCCTTAGGCTGGTCTTCAAGAAACCATTATTTGAGGCAGGAGCATATGACAAATACTTTGCAAACTCTATACTAGAGAGTGAAGTACCCACAAGGTTTCAGGAAGAATAACGAAGACCATTCCCTAAGTGAGCCAACACCGAAGTGGCCTCGAAGGACACAACATTATTTTATAATTTGTGAAATTTCCTTCTGATTGTAAAACATATGTAGTAAAAATTAAAGTAGATCCACATACAGAATTGCACCCCCACTGAGAAACACTGAAGTTGTGTACGGAAGAGAGAGTGAAATTTTTCCACACAAGAGGAATGATGTGTTTTAAATAAACAGCGTCAGTACTAATCTCAGAAATGAAAATTAAAACAGCAATGTGCCATTTCTTTATCCACTAGAGTGGCTGAAATGGAGGAGTTTGACAGTGTTAACTGTTAGGGGATTTGGGGACGATGGATAGATTGTACGGTTGGGAGAGGTGTCAGTTGGAGGGGAAGTCAGCACACCTAGTGTGACTGACCAGCAATTCCACTGCTCTGGTCTGCCCAGTGGAACCCTCACCAAGCCTCAGAAGGAAAGATGAACAGAAGTTTTTGTTGCGGATGTGTTTGTGAGAGAAAAAGTTGGAGTTGTCGTAAATATCCAGTAACAGTG